TAAACCGGACCTTTTCGGATGAAAATTCATGCATTGGATAGCCCATAAAAACATAGCTTTAGGTATATATCTTTTATAAAAAAAAAAGTTGAGATTAGCAGATGAGAAAAAAATAATATTCATTTTTCGTTACGCGATGACGTTATAGAGTGGGTAGTTTTAGCTAAGCTCGATGCCAAAAAGTATAACACATACGAAATCAACTGTTATGCCAAAAGATACATCTGTTATCGTAGTCTTAATCGGTCTTAATCAACTTTGTATATATCACGCTGTTTCGATATATGGGTTGGGTTGATTAATGGTCGAAATAGAGAAATTTTCTATATCTGTTAGTGACATCTCTATCACAATTTATCACATACGATTAAACGCAGTTATTGATGGAACAAAAGGCGTTTCTCTACACTTTGGACCATGCTCTACAAGACGACGACAATGAGTTTTAGAAATGATGACTTCAAACTCCCGGTCCTGAAGTTACACGTTACGCGCTCAAGGCGACATGTTTTATAACTACTTGGATATAGGTATGATATTTCTGCAAGACCTATTTCCTTGTGTTTTTCATACCCTGAGAACAGCTTTTAGTACGTCGTCACGAGAACTTGTCAATTGGTATAGGATGAAGATCTCATAGTATAGTCCATCCAAAAAAGTCGGTGCATGTGACTGTTTTATGAATAACTTGAAAACAAAAAGAGATAGAGACCTGAGGTTTTCGTCATTGAGTTGGACTCAAAATGCTCTATCGATTCATGCAATCAACGCAACACAATCTTTCGTATTGACTAGATTTCAAGAGCTCATTTTGTTTAAAAGCACATTATTTAAAAAAACGAGTTTTTTAACTATTTTTAATATAATGAATCTTGATATATTTTTAATAATATAAGTCAATCATATTCACAATATTTACAGTGCCCATTCAAGCACCGTTTACCAACGTTTTTGTCCTTTATTCAGATTCTTTTTTGTTCTTGACAAGAAAGAATAACATATATGAAGTGAAGAAAAAAAAATTATATTCAAAAAATGTCACATTTAATGCCACAAAGTGCATTACATTCCGTTGAAAACTAATATGACACGATAGCTCTGTGTAGCTTATCAGTGTGAGAAATCGAAAGAGTTCTAATGGGTTTTTAATAGTCCTACTCCTGACTGTTGTTGTAACTTTTCTACCTTTCTTTTCTCTACAATTCTATGTAATTTATCTTGGCAGTAGAAATCTTTCATATATCATCATGTGAAGCTCGTAATTTAAAGTAACAATGGAAGTAAACATCACAAAAAAGAGCAACACTTGAAAAAAAGCGTTAGTTAGAAAAAAATCCGATAAATCTTATCCATAAATTCATACGAAATAAACTCGATTATTGATCAAACCAAAAAACATCATTGAAGGTTGAAACTATATTTTGAGACTAAGTAGATTATTGTCATCATTTCATTTTTCTTCATTGTTCTACTAAAGATACTCGATATTTTGTGTTTTGTCAAGAAAAAGAATAACGATAATCGAACTCATCAATCGAGACAGTGGAATATATTATAAACAAATGCAAATTTTGTTTTTCTTTTGCAATAGCTTTTCTTCTGAAAAGATATAAAGAATATGAGAATACGACAGAGAAAATCTGAAACACTCTTAAGATTCAAAGACACGTAAATTAAAACAGAGCAATTCGCTGAGAGAAAAACATATCTATTCGAGCTGTTGTGTTTTCTATATTCTTGAAACAGAAAATAAATAAAAAAAATATATAAAGTTTGTTTTCAAACAGGACTAGCTTCATACTAGTAATATTTGCGTTAACAATGATAGTCTATTTTACAATGAGACTTTCACATATGATATTCCAGTGAAATATAACAAAATAAAAAAACTGAATTTTCAATCTCGATGTATTAGTGGATGGGTTTTCTCTTCTTCCACAGACACTCCAACACTCAACCTCATGTTTGAACATTGTAAAAGAATATAGCGGTAAATGAAATAGACCAAGTCTCATTGCTATGGAATGATTTTGTATTAGTTTCGAACTAATAACAACAAATCAGCACCATATATCTGTAAGTTTTTTAAATGTTGGATAATGTTCGAAGTACAGCTTTTCTCCAGCAAAAATCAAGTTTTTATAAAAAAATAAAATAAACAGTTTAAAGAGATCTAACTTATTTTGAACTATTTATAACATAACTAATGTTAACACTGAATCCAAGTATTTTCAGTCCAGATTCACTCCCAGACTTGTGTCAGAATCCTACAGGTTGTGTTAGATATAGGGTGTTTTCGTTGGTGTTGGTATAGGCGTACATGAGAAAAAGATGATATCCTCACCCACATGCGTAACCACACGCTCACCCCACACCCACACCAGACACACCCCCACCCTCATTTGTTGGCTTTGACCGTTCGACGAGGTAGCACACAGTCGCAAATAGTCTTTGAATACAAAGAAAAGAGTTTGATACCTAAAGTTTGGAGGTCTAAATGAGCTGGGTTTCCAAACTTTAGACATCAAAAATTCATTTCTTCCAGCTCAAGGATTATTTTCGATAGTGTACGCGCTTAGTGAATGATCGAAGTTCAAAAGACATCTTTTATTCAGAACTATCATGCAATTTCTATGGGTCTACTCCAATGAAAAATTCTGTGGCATAGAATTTCGAGTTATGCATAGCGATCATTACTGAACTTATATACTTTATAACAGTTTGTTTCTTCCTTTGGCTCAATAACCAATACAACTTATCTCGTATTGATTTTATTTGAATTTTCACAATCTGGGCTAATCAAACTCATCGTAACAAGAGGTTTTTTGCTCGTAAGTACATTAGTGATCGTCGAAAGGGCTTGATCGGAAATCAACGATTTTTCCCCACTCTGGAAGCAGTTTAAAATAGAAGTACCTTTACAGTATATTACTACCCTGGTATGGATTTTGTAAAATCCGGCCCCTTTTAAGCACAAAAAATTTTGAAATGTCAGAAATAACTGTGCTCTCTTGAAAAATAAATCAGATAACTAAACTTAGGTAAGTCATAATATTTAGACAGTAGTTTTCAATAATATTTCATTACATTCAAGATAGAGTTATTAACTATAACATTCGATTGATATGGACACGGTTCACATCTTACTAATTGATAGATACATATAATATTCTGAAAAAAAGCAGACTCATCTGATTATTAGTCTTTAGCTGTCAAGTTTAATAGTATAATACCTTGTGGGGTGTGAGTATGAGTAAGAATATCCAACACCCACACCCACACCCCAATGAGCTATATCTTTTGCATTGTACATTCTTTTTTTTCAGATGGTTGGATATTATTTTATCTAATATTGTTGGTGACGACATGAAGTTTATTTTAGATAAACTGAATGGCAAGTAGTAGAAATCTGAAACCTATGAATGCGGGATCGAAGAGTTCTGGAGAAGCATATTCCAGTTCAAACAGGTCGCAGATCGATGATCGTTCAGTTACAACTACGGAGAATCAGGCACTCATCGATCGAATGAACAGCCTTGAAGGACTGTTTCATAATCAACTAACCAAAGCAAATAGTGAAATTGTACCACTTCAAGAGAAGATTAAAAACCTGGAAGAACAATCCATACAACATAAAAAACAAATCAAGGATTTGGAGAATAAAGTAATGAGTAAGTGGAAAATGCAGCTTTAAGAACATATGTGATGTAGTTTACTTAGTTTTTTTTATTTTAAAGGAAAATAAACACAAAACATAATTCGAAATAGTTTAGTGGAAGTGCAGTGAGCATACTACAAATATTCAGTGCAGTAAACAATAGCTCTAGCACAGTTTCTTCTGCTTTTGAGGAAGTATTATCTGCAGGCTTTTCATCCTCTCACATCAAGTGTTCATTTATATGATAACCTTTAATTTGGATGTATTGGAATCTGAGTTTGAATGCTAATAGATAAAGATGGGTTTCGTAAAAAGTGCTTAACAACTGTCTGTCTAAATATAACGAGATGGTGACAGATACTCAGATAGTTTCAAAGTATACAGTCAAAAACACACAAAAAATACATGTAATAAATTTTCAGCTTTTCTATGGTTCATTGTTATAAGAATACAAACAAAACTTAGCCACTATTTACAAAAGAATCTGTTCTAAATATTTCATTTGAAGCGATTGTATTAAGCAAATCAGAATAATATCGTTGGCCAATGTTGCTAAATTTTTCAGATCTGCAACGTCATGAATCAAAAGAAAACGAAGTGGAAACCGTAATATCGACTAATGTCAAAGTAGCAGATGACATAACGGCATCAATTGAATCCGGAGATACAGCTGCCAATAAGACCGATCTGAACTTTCAAAAGCAAGAACGTTCTGCAATGGTCCAAGCAGGGAACGATTTATTCCGATCTAATGAAGCCAAAAAGTGTTCATTTTCAGGATCTGAAGAAGTTCATGTAGAGAAGTTACAATCATTGAATCTGAAAAACAATGATGAGGTGAGCAACAACTTACTTAATGACAAGACTGATGCGAAAAACGAAGAGAAGCACCAGAACAGCAAAAATAAATCAGACACATTCATCGGTAAGTGTTTTTGATTTAAATATCAAATTTATCAAAAAGAAAGTTTGGACAGACAGTTTATTTGTCTTCTCTTGTCACTAGAAGAAACTAGTAGCACAACATCAAAATCAGGGACTATCAATAGTGGTTAGCAAAATTCACAGTGTTCATTGGTAACACTATAAGTAAGCATGAACGTATCGTTATATTTTAGATCAATTGTACTCAAGTGCTTTCAATGACGAATCTCATAATGTCATAAAAGACCAAGACACAACAAACCACACAAAAAGCAAAGAGAAAAGTAAGTAGCGACAGTAATTAGTGGTTGATATTGACGGAAATGTTATTTTAGTGTGTGAATCGAAGGACAACAGAGAACATTCTCTATTGTCTTCATCAGAAAGTTCGACTCATAATCGTAAAACCAGCAATTCAATGGAATGTTCAAAAGATTCTGCTAAAAAGGGTAAGATTCTGAACATTTTGATTTGACCTAAAATTATCCAAAAAATAAAGTGAAAACATTTATGAAAATGTTTCATAAAGAAGATATTCTGTTGAGAATAGTGAAATGAAGCAGCACCGACGTTTTTCAAAGTGTCTATTTGGTTACGAGAACGAAATTAGTAAATAAAAAGAGTTGAAAATGTATTGATGCTGCTGCCGATCTGTTGTCGTTTTCCAATAGGAATGCAGTATATAATAACGTACTTACATAAATGAGTCACTGAGTTTCTAGTGACAAATATGTGTCAGTTAGTATTAATTCAAGAGGAAATGGTAATTAGGATTTTATTGATATTCAGTAAGTACGATTATTTTTTACAATTCTCATTAGTATTCATTCCAGTTTCAAATCTAAATAAATACGTGAACAGGACACACTCTTTGTAAATTTATTCAACAGGGCGTTCAGTTGGATCTGGAAAATATGTGTTTGCTCGTTGGATGAATTCGCGAGATGAAGAGTTTTCTTTATGGTCAAATGAACAATATCGTCATCGTCTGCTTTCCTACATCGGTAGAATCTATGGACAAGGGGAAAACATAGGCCAACTATTGGCTTCTCTAAGAATAGAGTTTAATAGATCAGATGAACTGGATCAACTTTATGCGGTAATCAAACAATTCGAGAAACAACCCGGTTCATTTATGGAGAAATTAGAAATATTTTAATACTTATACTTGGTCTTCTAGATGCTAAAATGTCACTTCGTGAATGGCGACTTCAAACTCGACCTGGTCATCGTTTAGTCGAACTCAAGACTATGTTTGAATTCAATAGTGCTTATCCATCAAATCTTTGCGATCTAAAACTAACACCGTCATATGATTTCCAAGAGATTATTAGTCGCGGATCTATCAATGCCTATTTTGATATGATTTGTCGTGATGGTTTGATTACAGCTGAGATTGGCGAGTATTTGGGTTTGAATAAAGAAAATATTTTTGGTGGAAGTGACTATAACAGTCACAATGAAAGAGTGACGTTTGTAAATGTTAACTTAAACCAATCGATCATCAATCTTGGTAATTTTCTTTTTCGTTTATTTAAAGTGTACCTTACTTGAATCTATAATTAATGCATAGGTAATTTGTTAGATAAAACAAATACAAAAGCAGGAGTTCTCTGTAGATAATAGGCAAAGCGGATGATAGAATGAGAAGAGTTTTTTTTGTATAGAACACAGCTAATTGAAATATTCCATAACAGATGATAGTACAATTCGAACAGTCATGCATATAAATTCTGTGACGGTAATGAAAGTTAATCAGAAAGAAGACTTTTCACATGCCTGCAATCACTCATAATTTCGATTGATTCTTCTATTTTCATGTATCTCATTGTTTATCTAGCTGACAATCGTGTCGATCTTATTACCTGTTTCGTTACACTTCATCATGTTCCCCATCTGAACTCAATGCTTTCTGAGTTCGTTCGCATTCTACAACCAGATGGTTATCTTATCTTACGTGAACATGATTGCAGAAACGAGCGCTCACTTACAGCCAAATATCTCAATTTTGTTCATGCTTTTATGATGATTGCACAAGTTGGTGAATTTGCTGAAGTAGCAGCTAATCATCTTAGCCAAAAACATAATGAATCTGTGGTCGTTTCTGAAAGTGATACGATTGACTGGGAACAACAAAAGTCTAACATCATTAAATATACGAGTTCAATTCAATATCGAACACGTAAGGAATGGCAGCACGAATTAGAAAGTGTTGGCTTTCGTCTCAAAGCCACACTCGATTATAAACTACAGGCATCGGCTAATCCTCAAGCACTATATTATGCTGTTTACCAACTGAATGCCAAGTGATCTAATTTGGTTAAATACGGAACCATATAAGTTCATTTCCATGTCTTTTTTGTGTGCCTACTGTGTGATGATGATCATTATTCATAACATTATATATCATATAAACTATTAGACTAATCACCATTAAATTGTTTTCACAGAACAAAAATGCAATAGGTAATTGTCTCCGTTTGTTCCGAAATTGTTATGTGTTTCGTTTTCAATATCTTATAAATATCTATTAAACTATGTTCAAGAAAGGGACAAATTAGACAGTATTATGATGACTTGCAAGATTAAGAAAATCATTTTTTGATAAGGATCATGAGTTCGTAAGATTCCAACATGTCGGCTCGATGCTTCCACAAAAAGGATAGGTATATCTGTAAGAGTTTCAAGCACAGATCTTATGTTAAGGAGAAATTGTGCATTGGTAAAGAAAAGTTCCTGTTACCGTGATTTTACCCTTATTATGTTTAGAATTGATAGGGTAAAATTTGAACTACGTAAAAAATCAAGATAACAGATTATTGTGCGGGATTTTCAACATAATTCATTCCGTTAACACATCTCTGGTATGAGCTATAACATGTGTAATGAAAGGTTAAGTCATACTAAATATAGTTCATTCGTATTTGATGGCAATGTTTTAGCAGATAGTCCTAAAAATGGGATAGTCGATTGCATTTCTTTCTTCATTTGACTCTCTTATCGAAGAAAGTAGAGAAAACATCCATGTTTTTTTTCTTTCCTTTGAGATGATTTTTCTTCTCGTGACAAAGACAAACGTCGGTGAAGATATCCTCGCACAAACTATAATATCAAGAAGATATTGGGTCACATTGTTTTTTCCTCCTGCTTTTTCTTTCTACATCTTTCTATTTATTTGTTTTTTTTTTTCGTTTAGTCTTTGCAGTGTTTGTATTTCGTCTTTGCTAATATCAGAAACAACGAGACTATGGCATGATACACATATACTTGAGAAAATCATGCCTTGCAAAGGTATTTTGTTAAGATATATGTTGTACCTATAAGATCTTGATAATTCATTTCTTTGTCGTTTAGGTGTTATGTGACGCAATCACATTATAATGTACTGTCTCTTGCAGAACGAGATGATATAGTCACTTTTTTATCGATTGAATTTAAGAAACAATGAACATTTAAAAACTGACTAGTCTTTCCACAAGTCAAGCAAATCGTAATGATTATGTCTACTGCATATAATGAGTCTCTTTTGACTTGACTAGTCGAGATTCATTATCATATTATTGACTATCTTGATCCACCAACTATTTTTCTATCACTTGCTGATGTATATACATCCTTTCGAGCAATAACCCATACGTACAATCGATATCAACTCGACTTCAGTTCAATTTCAAAATCTGATTTCCATCATATTTGTCCACTTATTCAACCCGAAGATGTATTCTCATTGACACTTTCAGATGATAATAAGACACCAAGTCAAATTAAATTGTTTCTTTCGATGTTTAACATTGACCAATTCACTCGATTATTGTCGTTAACTCTTCTTAGAATTAATGATGACGAGGATGTGGGTGTGGGTGTGGGTAGGGCTGTTGGGATCAGCCTTTTTTCAACCCACACCCACACCCATACCCATACCTACACCACCCACGTCCACGCACCCACCCGCGCCCACACCCATACCAACACATACCCACATCCCACACCCACACCTCCCACCCACACCCCACATCCACACCCACACCCTCAAGATACATGCAAGTCAATCGGAGACGTTCTAATGAGCTTGAAAATTTCGTCCGCTTCTATAAACGGACATCTATATATTAGTCGAAGATCAACTCTGTATTTTCTTTGGATTAGCTCGTTTTGTATATTTGGCAGCAAGGAGAAAAACGGAAATGAGTGAGCAAAAGAATTTGTTCTAAATACTTGCACCGCAACGTGTTTGTTACGTTGAAGCCATTTTAGCTGAATGTAAGATTTTTTGGATATGCTCAAGGCATTTGTCCACAGTGGACATAAGGGACATTTCATATGTTCATGTAAAACCTATATATTAAAAGATCTCAAGGTCTCTAGTTTGTTGTAGCTTATTTTGATTTGTACTTCCATCTGTTTCACTTGAAAGTGAAAATTGGAACAACTGTTTTTGATATATCTATCAGTTGGTGACAGATTCTGGATTCTGTTGCGCTAAACTCATTCATTCTTTACTCGTTTATACTTCATTATCTATTTAATTCATTTTAACTGCTGATTAATGAAATGTTCATTGTCAAAGCAGGGAAAAAAACAAGCACTCTAATAAGCGTGACAACTTATAAGAGTTTTTTTGTTAAATTTGTCATCTGCTTCTATTTATAGAACTCGTTAGTGTTCTTTTATTTCTACTTTTTATTTTCATAAAGTAGCAAAGAACATATATAATTTCTGTCTATTAATATTGAGCAAAGTCTTTTTTTATGGTAATATTTTTTTCTCATGATTAGATTTTTAACCATTTGTATTCGAAAAATCTAATTTTAGTTATAGTGCTTTCTACGCTATACTGTTCAATATTATTGCGACGAAGTTCAATTAGCTGAAAGGGGAAAATCATGAACGTATCCCATGAATACTTTCAAATTTTTTAGAGATTACACATCAATAAATAGAAAAAAAACTTGATCTCTTCATCATTCACTCTTTTTACACTTGTTCTTTCAGAGAAGTCGCAAAATTGATGGCAACATCTGGTAATAATTCGCGTATAACAGATATTGAACCATGGTACATTCCTATGGATATTTTGAGAATTGTATGTATCATCATGACGATTATTATTGCTTTGATCGTTTTGGCTATTATCGCTTCTAACCGAACACCTCGAACTACACCAATGATGTTGATTGCCAATACATGTCTAAGTGAACTCGTCTGTGTATGTACAGCTTTAGGTATAGCTACATTTACACTTAACAGTGACCTAAAGCGAATTCAATATCAAGATTCACTTTGTGTTTTTCGAGCGTACATCAATTATAGTATGACTGTTATACAAAATCATTCTTATAATCTTCAAGCTATCTATCGATATGTTATTGTAGTATATCCAACTCGCATCTTTTGGCAATCACACCGATTTCAACTTTTTTTGATTATTATAACATGGATCTTTGGTCTAATAGCCTTTATACCTTTTTTATTTACTGATTATATAAGGTACAATGTTGAAAATCAAATATGTCAAGCACCTATTCGATTTTCTTTTGCTATAATTTATGTTGCACTTGTTATTTATATTATTCCAAATATGATTCTTAACATAATTTATCTTAAACTAGTTCGATATGTTCGTCAAATGAATAAACGAATAACATCTGCAAATGTTTTATCTCGTGCTGAACGAGAACTAAAAATGGTTCGAAATATTGTTACAATCTCAACTATTCTTGTCATTCTTGGTTTACCATATGCAATATTTATTTTAATGTCATTTTTTACAACTATACCACAATATCATTTTCGTATTGCTTTTATATTTATTGACATATCAACAACAGCTTCTATGATTGCTCTATTCAAAACTACAGACACAATTAAAGCGGCTGCAATACAGACAGTAACTGAATTAGTAACTATAATCGCACAAATGAATACATAACTGGTTACAGTCAAATTTTATTTCGTTCTTGATTGTTTTAAGTTTTATATTAGTTGATGCTTTATTTTCTTTTTTTTTATATAGCATGTGCACTATTTTTAAACAAATCATCTTTGCATAAGTTGGACACGTCAATTATTCATGTGAATATTTCAAAAAGGATTTGTCATGACAAATTTGTTTTGCTTCATCTGTTCTTTTTATTTAGGACTCTTTAATCCCTTATTAGTTTTTCTTTTTCTCTAATTCAAGTTTCTTCAGTATACAATGAAGAGGAAAATATTTTGTTTGATAAAGTATCAAAAAAAAGACGGCACTGAAAGTTCATTGTTGTTTATTTCGTAGGTGTCAACGGACAGTTTTATAAAGTACTGTCAAAAATAGATAATTATTAGAGTCATTCACGGAAGACTAAATAGTACTATTTCTTCAGTTACAGTAAATTTTTCTTTTTTATGAGTAGATTACAACAAGTATCTTTCTTTCATTGGTAATTATTCAATCTCACGAGGAAATATTTCCAGGTGTTGGAACGCTTTCGAATCGGGACTTTGCGCATCTTGTAGGCCTTGATGAATTATGTCTACCGTAAAAAAAGTTCGTGCCACTAGCTTATTCCTAGTGAGATATCGAAGTTTTAGTGAATTTTTCCTACAAGACCCCACATTTGCAGCAAGGCCATATTTTTTTAATTTTGATCTGAAACTTTGTCCACATAAACATCTCA